ATATATATATATATACACAACATTTTTTGTTTGTTTACTAAAGTTTTTTTGGGAAAATTTATCATTAATATTATAATATATATATAATATAATATAATATATATATATTATATATGTATTAATAGTTTATTTCAATATATATACACACAAAATTTTTTGTTAGTTTACTAAAGAAGTTTTTTTTGGAAAATTTATCATTAATAAATAGTAACACGTTATATTTTTCATTTTTCTCTTTACATATCACCGTATCATCTTCAGCTTTTCAGAGTGTGTTTTCTGAATCATTTCTACATTACACAAGGCATTGCCAAATTGCATTTTGTCCACGAAATATACATAATGGGCGAATGGGGTGAAAAGTCGTCAATGGAAGAAATTAGAAAGGAGGAAGGATTAAAATTGAAAATCAAGAAGCCGAAACGCGGATGATTAAGTTTAACAAATAAACAGATGTTATTCAGCACAATAAATAGACATGAAACTGAACTTTGAAGAAGAGACAAAAGAAAACTGTCTGTAAAAGGATAGACGCGGCTAATCGACAAGTGAGTTGAGTGGAGAACAAAGGAGGAACGAAAATAAAATGTAAAAGTAAATGGACACCAACCATACTCACCGGCGGTGTTGCTGAGGGACGCGAGGGTCGCCAGTCCTTGAAGATTCGCGGGGTTGATCTCTGGAGGGCTGGGCACAGCGGGGGCTGCCGCGTGCGCAGGAGTCGCCGCACCAAGGCCAAGATGTTGCTGCAGCAACAATTGGTGCTGCACGCTTGACAACGCGCTCGCACCGGCGCCTGCCGCCACCGGAGTCGCCGCGTTCGTCGTTGCTTGAAGTTGTTGCAACAATTGCAGCGAGGCGGGCGCCAAAGCAGGCGTGTCGTTCTGAATGCGAACAAACGAGCGTTTCTCACGTGAGTATAATGCCTGCTTATGAGAAACGAAAGGGATTGCGGTCGCCAGAAATCGAGACTCAATGCCATCGAGACATTCGCCAGTATACAGAGTTTCACGGTGCAAGGGCCGTGTAGTTGAGCGTGATCTGAATGCG